TACATCGCCTGGTCTCTCTCTCTGAGTTAAAATTAGGATTTTTTTATCGATTTTCAATTTAGTCCTCCAGCTTTCAATTGCTTTCAATAAAATCCCTAATTGACCCTAAACTTTTGATTTAATGCAATTTGGCTCCGATGTAACTTCAACTTCAACCCCGAATTTACACACCTTTTGCAATATGATCCTTCAGCTCAGATTTATACAATTTCATCCCTAATTGACCATTAAACTTTTAATTTTTTCAATTTGACCCCGGATTTTGTTAATTAAATCCCTATAGTTTCACGTCTTTTGCATATTGGTCATTGACTATGAATTTTGTCAATTTAATCCCTAATTGATCCCAAAACTTCTATTTTCTTGCAATTTGACCCCTAATTTCAATCAATTAACTTGGTAAAAATTAAATTTTATCTCCTAAAATTCCAATCTTCTCCATTAAACCTAAATTAGGCTTCCAAACTTAATTTTTCACCAAGTAAGCCTCAAATAAAATTAATTTGACCCATTTAAAGTATAATTAAGTCCTTGCACTTAGTTAAATCCTTCATTTGGACCCAAATTAATTCTTAAACATAATTTAAATTTAATTTGGTCCATGATTAAATCAAATTGGCCTATTAAAAATTTAATTATGTCATTAGACTTAATTTTTATACAAATTCATCTAATAATCATTTAATTTAACCTTGAATTTGTATTTTATTTTTTATTTTTGGGCATAATGGGGCACAATTAGGTCTTAAATTTTCTTCAAAAATTGCAACTTAATTTCTCAGCCTATTTTCTTCATGTTGTCAGCCTTTATTATTATTTTTTATTTTAAAAAAAATATTTTAGAAAATAAACAAGAATTGAGTTATGAACTCCATTGTGAGGAAAATAGTTGAAATATCACCCAAAGAACCTTTTTCAGTGCACATTAAGTATCTCCACTGTAGTTTTGTTACTTTTAAGCTTAATGTCTATGATCAAAGCTGATAATTGCATGATACTGCAGATGCTGAACTTCGCACCTCCATCATCAGGATTGATTCCTTGGAAGCCTGTGTTTTCTTAATCTGGTCTTCCTCTTACAGTTCTGGAGTATCTTCTACTTTAGCTGCTTAAGTTTTTTTATGGCAGGTCATTTTTCTTTACCATATGAGCCTAACAGTTCATGTGTATAGTGCATTTGTAATGCTTTATTTGATGGAAATGCATGAAAGACTATCATGTTCATCATCTTGTTTGCCCTCGTATGTAGAATTTTTTTTCCCCATAACACTAAAGCTGCACGAATTAACAAGTATCTTGATTTTTTGAAGGCATCCCCTATATGTGTGGAGGAACAAACTTTTTAAGATTTTTTTATTGTGTCTACTTTTGCATGTGCATGTGCTGTCCACTCTCCCTTTGTTACTTTTTTTTTTTTTTGCTTAAACATGTATCTGGAGCAACATATAGTTTAAGATGTTTTTGCTATGCTCATGGATTACCAGGTCTAGAAAATGAATCGAGAGATTTTGGGATTGATGGTATCATGTTTGAGTTTGGTTAAATATTGAAAAAACAATTCCACCCCAGATGTCAATTTGATGCCTTGGCATTGTTTGGACTGTTTACTAAATGTTTTTCTAACGGATCTAGGTATCTTTCCCTCTCCTTGGCATATTAGGGTTTCTTCCTAGTTCCATGAAAGCAAATCTCAACAAAGTGATTAATAGAACCTGAAAGTACCAGAGCATGATGATCTTATGATCATCATCTTAAGTTAGGATAACATAAAGGATTTATCATTGTAGCAATTTGATATAGTAGAACAAAAGTTGAGTCTTGTTAGCCCGTCTTGTATTCCTTGTCAATTCATAGTTTGTGGAAGTTCTATGTCATAACTAAAGCTTCATCTAACAGTCGAGGAAGTTACATGTCATAACTAAAGAATCTTCTTCAACTTATGGAACATGGATGTATTTCTTTTCGATAGATGTCATAACTAATGATACTAGCTGACGATCATTTGTTCAGGCGATGGCACAAGTTGGTGGTTTGGTCATGCTGCAACTAGAAGTTGGAGGCTCTCGTGAGAATTTATTCTTTGCTGGAACTGACAAGGTGAGATTCTGGAAACCAGTGATTGCCGGCGACACCGTAGTTATGAGAATGACACTTATCCAGCTGCAGAAACGCTTTGGAATAGCAAAGATGGAGGGGAAAGCTTATGTTCGAGGTGTGGTAGTTTGCGATGGTGAGTTTTTGATGGCTACTGATAGTGAATAATCTCTGCTAGTTTTACTATTTGCTGCCAGTCACCAGTCGATTTTTCTTGGTTTCTTTTTTCCACAGAAATCTCATCAATTCTTTCTATGATTTTCATCCGAAATTGGTCAAAATCTATCCATGGCAGTTACAAGCATGTGATCCCTCTGTTTTCTGTGGTTGTTTGGGCACTTGAAAAGCCTTCAAGTTCTTTTTCAAGGGCCCCTACTTCGAAGTGGTATGAGTTAAAGTTTCTGGTTCATAAGCTCGTTCTCCGGTTTATCATTACTGGCATATTGCACTTATTTTATCTTTTTTTTTCTCTTTTTTGCCCACAGATCTGAGAAGGGAACGAAATAGAAAAGAGAGTGATGAGATATAAGCATGGATTTTATTATGTCAGTTTCATACTTCTGTGAGTTGTGCTCGGAGAAATTAGACTCTATCGGCAGGAGAAATTAGATCTGTATCTACATTAATGCCAGAAAATGATCATCAAGTAAAGGCTTTACAATCCAAGAGCACCCAGAGGAGTCTTGCCTTGACCAGCCTCGAAGTAAAAGATCAACATAGCAACCATGGCAAGCCTGGCATGCTTGATCTCAGCTACTTTGAGTCTCTCAAGCTTCTCCACATCAGGAATGTACACACCATCCTTCAAAGTCCCTGCAAACCCCAAAGGGTCAAAGAACTTGCCGCCAGGGTACCCCTGGTCACCAGTTGCGTTGGCAAAATTCTCAGCAGTTTTCGACCATGGTGTCGCCCATTCCACCGATTGGGACTCGGGGTTGAAGAAATCCACCCACCGCTTGCTCTCCACCCAACCCATGAGAATGAGCTGGGTGCCGAGTAGGGAACCGAAGGAGAAGGGTGCAATGGCACCAGGATCAGCACCAGCCTCGAACCAGGGGATGCCGCTCCAAGCTTGGCCAACAAAGATACCCAGCACGGCAGCCATAGCCCACCTACCGTGAATGAGTTCAGCTTCCCTGTACCATTTGAGGAATGCTGGGTCCTTGCCTAGCCCTAGCGGGTCGAAACCGTAGTCACCTGGGAGCCTGCAAATTAAATGTGCGGAGACTAGAATACCTCAGCTCTAGCAACCATAATAAATTCCGGAAGTACACATGGTAGAAGAGATTTGAACTCAACATCTCTTGAGGAAAAAGACATCAATGATAGAAGAGAATTCAGATTAAGACCCAGATATGGTTGCATAAAAAAGGAGGGTGGAGGAGAGATCAGACTTACGAGCCATCGAGCCACTCGGGGTCAACCAAGTTGCCACCACCTTTAACACCAGGGATCCATGACTTTTTTGGTTGAGCAGCAGCTACCACCACCAACTTTCTTGTACCAACTGGAAAACTTCCAGTTCTACTAGCTCCAATTCCCAGCAAGGCTTGGTTCCTCTTCCCTCCGCACAAGAAAGAAGACCCCAGTCCGTTTAGGACAGCTCCAGCGGTAGCAGCCATCTCTCTGGTTCAAGAAGATGAAGTTGGTTTCTATGCACGCTTCGATGGAAGTAGCGGCGCCTCCTGAGCGAGTTTGTTTCCTTTGGAAATTGCAGACACTTGTTGCGGTTTGCGGCTTTAATGTTGTCTTGCACGATGAGTGAGTGGGGGAACGAGGATCTAAAGAATGGCTTAGAATGGAGCCATGTGGGATAATGAAATCTGAGCTTGGATAGATTTCGGACCAATGGGAGCTTCAACTCCATCCGCACGCCATGTTGGCTTCAACCCACGTGGAGCTAGCCATAAACCGGGCTCCATAGCCATGAACCACACTCATGAAGAATAGATATAAAAGCCAAACCGGGCGAGTTAATTCGGTGGCTCGTCGATTTAAAACTTGATCTAAGTTTAATTACAGATCAGATCTTTTATTTTATTAAAATAACATCATTTCATAAATTTAAAAATAAATAATAATTTAAACTAATTTATTTTTATAATTTAAAAATATTTTAAATATTTTAATATTTTTTTATATTTTTACATTAAATTATTTTAATGAACTAATATTAAAAATAATTTAAAAATAATTATTATCATACTCTTAAATCTTAGGTTTTATAACGAGCATATTATTAAATTAAAACAATACCATAAAACAGTGCACACTTGCACCAAATATTAAAATCTTGGAGTGTCTAAAAGTATCCAATCTTAAAATCCAAACACTAAGATTATGAAGTTTTATAAATTATATAATAAAATAAAAATATGAGTATTGGTTTTGCAGTTATACTCTACATGTGACCACGTTGAGTCAATTAATTCTAATTTTAATTGAATATTAATTGATAAATAAATAGAAGTTAAATATTTTTATTTTTAATGGAATAGGTTGTCTAAAATGTTTAAAAGAAATTCAATGGAAGAAAATGTTTGTATGACATGGTAGTGATTGAATTAGTTGAATAATCTTATTTTTTATAAAATATTCAGAAAACATTCTAAGTTAAAAAAACTTTTCTAACAAATGATCTATTAACTAAAAAACTAAATGGCATGAAGAATTTACTGTGCAAAAATATATTTGAATCCACTCAGGATACTGTGGATGTATTGTTCATCATGCTATTTTTTTAATTTTTTTTTTTAATTTGATTCTTATTAGATCAAATTATAAGCTAATTTTTTGAGGTAATATAATTGAAGGATGGAACCAAACTAAAAACACACTTAGACGTAGATAATGAATGAGTTGTTTTAAAAAGTTTAGGTAAAATATTTAGTGTAATCTCTATATTTTATAAATTATTGATATTAGACCCTTTTAATTTTTAAAATTAAAGGGAATGATTAATTTTGGCTCTGATTTTCTTTTTTTTTTGGCTTCTCTCGTGAAAGAGAATAGAAGAAGTTGCTAGAATCCACTGCTAGAGAAAAAACAATATTTATTTACATTGATTATAAATACTAAAAAAAAATTAAAATTGGTGTTAGATTACTCCTTTTGATAAGAAAAGCTTACATAAGAGATTTGTTTATTTTGAAATTGCTAAAAAAACAAATATGATTATAGTAAAACTTTTTATTTTAGGTTTATTTTAAGTTTTAGAACGAGTTTTTGGATTTTTAAAATTATAAGTGGATTTATCAAGTTGTTTATGATATTTTTTAAAAATTTTAAATAAAAAATAAGGTAAAATTTTGATTTTTAGATTTAAAAAACCATCAACCACAATGACCAGAAACTAAACAATACATGTGACACATCACCTAAATATTTTTCAATAAATATCATCTAATTCATATATGAAAAAAAAAAGTCCAATAATGAAAACTCAAATGAAATAGGCAAAGTAGGTTGGCTTTGCTTGCTAGAAGCAATAGTGCTTGGCTTTTTTAATTTTAAAAAATAAATTTTTTATTTTTTTATATTTTAGATTAATATTCATTTTCTCTTCTATTTTGTTTAGAAAACGTTTTTTAAATAATAATTATTTTTTGGTTATGCATTTAACTTTTGAAGAGATTTTTCTTATTTATCTATATTTTTTAATCTTTTTTTATAGAAGAATTTTATTTTATAAAATATTTTTTTTATTTTCAAATAATATTTCTAATGTGTATAGTCTTGTATAATATTGTTTTCTTTTTATTTTATTCAATTAATTTAATGTATATCTCTATTTTTATTATTTTTTTATTAAAAAAATATTTTTATTTTTAAATACTATTTCTAATATGTTTAGCCTTACATGATATCTTTGTATTTTTATTTTATTTAATCAATTTTATTTATATATTTATTTTTATTATCATTTGGTCAAATAAAAAATATTTTAATAAAAAGATTCCACAAGCATAATATGATAAAGGTCTCGTCTTATGATATTTAATATCTTGATATACAATTATTTTTTTATTTGTATTTTTAGTTATTATTTAAGATTTTTTAATTTAATAATAAATATAATTTTTTATTATATAATTTTTTTATTTTCATTTAGAATTCTTTTAATTATAAGAATGTGTTGAAAAAATGGTATATATAATTTTTTTACTGGAAAAAAAAAAATCTAACCGGTGATAAAGTATGAATCAACTATATGGCATTGGGAGATTGTCCGTAAACTACTTTATTTTCATGAGTTATTTCATATAATATATAAAGAAATAAATAAAAAAAAACCCTAGCTGCCATTAGTTTCCATCTTCTTTTCCTCCCCTCCTGCACAGCCAGCAACTCCATGGATGGGCTTCACTGGCATTGAAGCTTGAATAATTTGAAAAACTTCAAGATGTCTATAATGGTAACAGAGTTCACAGTTCACCATGGTGCCTTTGAGAGAGTGTTTAGTATTGTAGTTTGTAGTAGTTGTTGTGACTGTGATTTGAAAAAAATTATTTTATAAAAAGTATTTTTAATTAAGGTTAATTTAAAAAAATATATATTTGGTTAAAACTGTAATTGAAAATGAGGTTGAATAAAAAATAGTTTAATGTGTTTGGTTAAAGAATGCTTTTTAAATTAAGGTTATAAAATAATTAAAAAATATATATATATTAATATTAATAATTTTTAATTTAAATACTGTAAATTTAAGTACAACTATTACATAATTAAATAAATAATATTTTATATCAAATATTTTTTATTATTCCATCAACTTATCTATAATTTCATCATATATGAAATTCATCCAATAAAGACTATAATTTTTATGGTTTTTTGAGTGTACAAAAAAATCAGATAAAATATTATTAGAAATAAAATTAAAATTATAATCAAATTTTACAAATATTATATCATCATGCAATCTACTTCTAATTTATTCTAATTTATGTAGTATTATTAAATAATATTAAACTAAATTTTTTCAAGTAAAACACAATTAAAAAAAAAATTCAACGGGTTGGAGACATTGTTCACTTCAATATCCTCTCTTCCATGTTTCAGATTTTTTTTCATTATTGAAAGTTAGGAAGATTAGAAGAAGCATCGCTGAAGCTCTCTTTAGCAGTCTCGAGCAACAAATCAAGGGTTGACTGGTAAGCATTATTTTTTTCACTATCACTATCACTCTCACTCTCATCCGTGCTCAATTCTTCCTTAATTTTCTGGTTAGAACTATCCACCTCCATGCATGACAATCACTTCGAATCAAAACAAGTTTTCATGCATTGACGAGCCTTAGCCCTTTTCTCCATATCCATCCGTTTCTGTAAGTTGATATTTCTGTCAAATTCATATAATTTCACTGGCAAATTTGCTTGATCTTTCAAGGCAACTAACGTAACTGCTGCAACACTTTTCTTGAAGTGAGCAAGCGGAGTGAATTAATTCACTTTGCACTGTTCACTTGAACAGTGCATAGTGAATTTATTCCCTATGCACAAACACTAAGGAAAAAGTAGACAAATGTTGCTTTCGGCGAACCAGCGTTTGAAACGTTAATTGTGGTGGGTTTTACACACAGTAAATAACGTTTTTCATTTTACCAAATGATTTGTTTCCGTGGTTTGC